CCCCACCATCCAGGTGAGCACACCTTCGGCGGCAGTCAGCTCCTTCCGGAGAGAGACCTGCGCGTCTTCCAACGCGGCGAGTGGGTGAGAGCCCGCCCACTGGACTCTCTGGAACGATGCGGGGCACCTTTTCATACGCTTCTCGCCCAATGCCCTCTGACTTTCATCTCATTTACCTGCTTTTCTAATGGGTTCTCTTTTTTCTTAATTATTTACAAATGTTCTGTATAAATCCCAGAGAGTAATCCTTTGCCATTTATATGCCATAAATACCTTTCCCAGGCTGTTACCTATTAACTACTTTTGCGGCATTTATTGTTTTATAGAAGTACTGAATTTTAATCTAATGAAATAAACCACTTTTCCTCCTCCATAGCTTTAGCTTTTGTTGTTTAAGAAAGCCTCTCTTTGCTAAGATTCTAAACACATCCTACATTTTCTGCGAACTTTTCAATCATCTTTGTTATTCCCCGGTTCCAAATAAAGTGCTTGGAGTTCAGAAGTTTTCAATATTTGACCAAAATTGCAAAGCTAGAAATGATGAAACCAGGACCCACATCGCCGTATATCTATATATCACCTCCCACTCACACCACCTTCCCTAAGAAGGAATTAAAGTCCGAGAGAAGTACAGTGGAACAAACGATGCCCGGCGATGCTGAAAACTGGGATAAATGCACATCTCTGTACTGAGTACACGAATGGTTGATATATCAATGACTCATCATCAGCCTCAGAAAACCAGCATGAATTTCCTCCACCCACAGAAACTGCAGTCAGGGGACCCAAGTGACTGGAGATCTAAATATTCCAGTTGTGAAGTAAGTCATGGGAATAAGGAACAGAGTAAAAAACCTTGTAGTGACTATGCACAGTGACAGACGCGTACTCACTCAGCTTACTGTGGCGGTCACTTTGTAAGGTGTATAAGTGTAGAGTCACCACGTTACACACCTGAAACTAGTATAATATTGAATGTCACCTAAAATACCACTGAGCAAACTACTAAAGGCCCAACTGCTCTCAGTCATTCAGCCCCCCATCAATTCAAGCAAACAAACGTACACTGAACACCTAACACATCCCGGGCAATGCTCCTGAGCTCCACACCCTCGTTTTCGCCCTTTGCTAGATTTCTCCATGTAGACGTCCTGTAAGGTCCTAAAGCTTTGCTTGCTCATAACCAAAGTCTACATTCACAATGTTCCTTCAGTTGTGGTCATTTAGGTCACATGCCTTGTAATTGCTACTGGGAAGTGAGCTCTGCAGGGTGGGGTTTACGTCTGAGGTGCCTCTGTGTCCTCCACGGCACGGAGCTTAAGACCCCGGGAGTACAGGTGTTCTGTCAGTGCCCCTGTTACGTTGTCACGTGGTGTGGTCAGTGGCTCAACTTTCTCCCTTGTGGACCACACTGAGATCTTTTCAAGGATGGGTAGGAGTGAGGAAGGAAGGAAGGAAGGAAGGAAGGAAGGAAGGCAGGCCTTGTATTTTCAGCAGACACAATCTTCCCAGTGATTATACCACTTCACCGAGGTCACTGTTTATTACGACTACTACCGGTCACCTTTCCAGGGGGTCATAATCTCAGTGTATCCCGATTCTTCTGGACTTTGTTAATGTCTATAATGAGCTGCCAAATCTTGTTGCTTCTATTACAGCCCAGCCCAAATCTTTACTACAGGGCCCGGCAGAAGGAACGCCTACTCGAGTGTGGTTGGTTAGGTAATAATGTGTGAGTGTAATCATTTATAGTTTTCATTTGAACATTTCACCTAAAATGTCATGTGGTGTGTTTGAGTGTGATATTGCTATGTTACAGAATTACACACTTATGAGTTTGTCATAAAAGAGGGGCGTTATTTGTGCTGGACCCGGTATTCACCCTGCCACCACCTTGGTTCAAGCCTGTTGTTTCTTGCAAAAACTATTATGAATTACCTCCCACCTGTGCACCCCACACCAAGCCATATACGCCTGCTGTTGCCACATCATCTTTCCCGAATCATAATCTCATCATGCCGAGCTCTTGCTGAAAACCCTCGAAGTCTCCCTTGCATCCACGGAATTAATTTCAGGCCTCTCAGCTGGACACTGAGGCTCTCTCTCTGTCACCCCATCTGCATTTTCAGTCCAGTGTCCCACTGCTGCCCTACTGACATGCGCTCTTCTTCTCGTTATTACATCCGTTTTGCATTTCTTAGTTCTAGTGTGTCCGCCTGGGGCACTCGTTCCCACTCTGCCCTCTGAGGCCCACTGGACACACCAGCGTGTTCATGAAGTGGGGCCAAGGCCCTAGCAGACAGATCTCGGCCTCCTCTGATATCAGCGGCGCTTGCCATTGCCTCCTGGGTTGGAACCCACACCCCTCCCCGCCGTTTTATTTCCAGTCATTTGGTGCTAACCTTGTGCATGGCAACCTGACGGCCTGGGGTGAACATCCCCGTTTTCCCCATTTTTCTATTTTCCTGCAGTCTAGAAGAGAGCCTTGTACACAGAGGCAATCAATAAAATACCTGCTGAACTGTTCTCGCCACTTTTTTGTATGCTCCTTGAGGACAGTGACTTTGTGTATTTATACAAAACAGGCAATCAAACTGCTCTGGAGCCAGAAATGGCCTGGGTTCAAATCTCAGCTCTGCCACTTTGTGCACTGAGGCATCAAGTTACTGCTCTAAACCTCCCGCCCAGCAGCTGGGGGAAAAGACAGCCTCGTGGTGGCACTGCTGGGAGGATCCCATGAGCTGTGTGTGGTTTAGACTTCGAGTGCGGTGCCTGGTATGTGATAAGCGCCTCATGGGAGTTAGGCGTTATCGTCATAAAAGAAAAGAATAAAGGATGTGAGAGTTGGTCTTTCCTTCCTTATTCCATTAGTTAACTGGCGAGAGAGTTCTGTATGGATACTTTAGGTTAATGCCGCTGTCGCATGCATTTTGAAAAACCTGGCTCTGGAACTGGGAAACTGTTCCAAGGAGTACGCTTTGACACATAAAAACTTCTTGACTCTTAGACTGTTTTCATGAATTTCAAATCAAGAATTTGCATCTATTGCATCCACCTCCCAAAGTAAGCTTCAAATGTAGAAGGCCGGAAGTTTTCCCAAGCAACATGCATGGTCAATGCCTGATTGAGGACCCTAAGCGGATGGAGCAGGCGACCAAGACGACATGCGCCCAGACAGGTGAACATCATTGACTTTTGGAAAGCAATCTGGAGGCCTCAGAATCAACGTCACCCATTTCCTCTCCATTCCCCATGGAAGTCTTTACACGCTCGAAGATGCCAGTGGGAAGTCTGAACTCTGATTGGTGGGCAGAGTAAAGGGTGCGGGGTTGCCACAGGTGATCCACAAGTAAATAGGACCAGAAATTTCTCTCTTTGAATCTGCATTCCGTCTGCAGAGCAAAGCCCCAGTGCACAGTCCAGCCGCAGCGCTGGAAAGGGATGCACTGGCACCGAGGAGGTGATCGATGATGCAGCTAAGAGAAAAGGGGAAATGGTGAAGCGGCCTAAATGTGTCCAGAGCACATCGAGGGAAAACTCACATGCTGTAAAATAAAGGTCACGGGAAGCACAGACGGACACTGGTCATTAGATCCAGGAAATAGCCACTGCCAGGCTGGTCACCTGTGTCTTTGGCTTCCAGTGGGAGTATTAGTAAAGACGAGATTCATAAATCAAGCCAAAATTATATCAAGCAAGGAGAAACTCTGATTTTTAGTAAAATAAAGTCAAAAAATGACTACTGATGCTTCTTCAACTACTCAGGTCTTCTGTTTATCTATTCAGTGTAAAAAAGTTCATGTAAAAAAGTCTGATAATACTAACTTCTCCTATTTAGTCACAGCTACCTTTTTTCTGGATTTTAGTGTTAATGTTAAGATAGACCACAAGTTATAATGAATCTCTGTGACTTCGATGACTCCTTAAAACCCAACTCTCATTTTTGGAGCAAAGTTCCATTACAAAGTATTTCTACTCCTTGAAAGTGATCTACAATCCCTAGCTGTTGATATTTCAGTATTTTGAGTTGTGTATCAGATGTTCAGAAAAAAAACAGAGGAAAAAGAAGTAGCCTATTATGTTCATTAGCATATCATGGAAAATGACAGCCTTAACTCTCACGGGCCCTGTTAATATTCTGCCGACTCCCTCTGCTGTAGCAGAAATCATAAAAACAAAGCACATAACAGAAAAAAGGAGTTTCAGTCAAAGTGAAAATATTTTATGACATTGCAAGCTTCTTAAAAATACACTCATTCAAACATGAAAAAATAGCAAATAATCCTGAAGGAAAATAAAAAAGCTATTTGGCTCCATCACAGCTTACTACATGCATACTCTTAACAATTTATAACCGCTTGTAAGAAATCAGCTAATATGACAATTAACTAAATGTTTTCACAGAGATGGAACATTAAGTTGAAGCATGTCTGTTGATTCATATTAAAGAAAAAGGTTCCTACCCTTGTTTCAGGCCATAATAATGCTCACATTAAGTCAAAACCTGCAGCACCTTTACCATGACAGATGTGAAACGCTGACTCTTTGGATGGAGACCTACCTTAAAAGCACATTATTTTCCTTTGAAAGGCAACTCCCCCAACACAACCCATGTTCAGAATGATGGAACGGATCCATTTACTCTGACTCGGGTAAGAGGGAAAGGAGGTGGAGGAAAAGAAAAGAACGCTCCACTCCCCATGCCTCCCAACCCTACTTCATGCTTTTTTCTTGAAATGTAACCATTTTAAAACCCTAATAATTTGGCTATTGTTTCCCCTGGAGCATTCTCTATCAAGATTAAAGAAGGGCTAATTCAAGAACAAACAGGATACAGGAATAATAATGGTGCGGCTTCCAGGCAAGCTATAAATAGTGACGGCATTTTCAAGAAATCTTGTGCCCAGTATGTACGTTGCCATTTAAATGTGCAGTGCGGATTTTCTTACAATGGTGTCACCAAAATGTGTTTTTTTAAATATGAGAAATTCCATTCTTACCAAGTTTTCTTGGTTCCTGGCTGCTATTTTCTGCTCCTCTTCTGCCCCGTTTTTCATGTATTTGACCTCTTCCACTGGTTTGATCCTATACTCATCTGAGTACCGAAAAAGAAAAGAAAAGAAAAGACATTTTATAACTTTTTCACAATGGTAGGAAAGTGTCAATGAGAAAAGTCCAATAACATCATTCGTTGGAGCCATTTCCCGTGTCCTTTCTACGGGGTTCATTTAAAACGTCTGGACGAAGCTTAACCAGCCTCCTTTTCTGAGGCGCTGTCCTCTGTCTACTGGGGAGAACTCAGCGGCATGCTGGCAGCCAGTGACGGTGTCCTTGCCTGGTCCTTTCACAGAAAGCACACAGTGGCAGAGGAAATAGGATATTCCATCTCCGAAACTTTTTGGAGTCTGCACACAAGGCCATATCACACCATGGCCTAAGGAAGAAGTTTCTCCTCATGAACTAGTGTTTTCCTTATGAGCATGTGAGTTCAAACACCAGAGGCAGCAATGTTCAGCAGTTCATTTACGCCTTAATTTTTCTCTGGCAGGAAAAAAACAACAACAATGAAGTACTGTTTAAGACTAAAGAGTTTAATTGCTAAGAAGACAAGCAACCCAATTAAAAATGGGCAAGGGACTTGAACAAACAATTCTCCAAGAAGGACATACAGAGATCCAGAGACACATGAAAAGATGTTCAATATCGCTAGCTATCAGAGAGATGCAAATTAAAACAACAATGAGATACCATTTCACACCGGTCAGAATGGCCATCATAAACAAAGCAACAAATAACAAGTGTTGGAGAGGTTGTGGAGAAAAGGGGACCCTAGTGCACTGTTGGTGGGACTGCAGACTGATACAACCACTATGGAAAACAGTATGGAATTTCCTCATAAAACTAAAGATGGAACTGCCTTTTGACCCAGCAATTCCACTGGTAGGATTATATCCTAAGAACCCTGAAACACCAATCCAAAAGAACCTATGCACCCCAGTGTTCATAGCAGCACAATTTACAATAGCTAAGTGCTGGAAGCAACCTAGGTGCCCATCAGTAATGAATGGATCAAAAAACTTTGGTACATTTACACAATGGAAGTCTATGCAGAAGAAAAGGAAAGAAAAGAAAGAAAGAAAGAAAGAGCTCCTACCCTTTGCAACAGCATGGATGGAGCTGGAAAGCATTATGCTAAGCGAAATAAGCCAGGCAGTGAAAGACAAATACCATATGATCTCACCTTTAACAGGAACCTAAACAACAAAACAAAGAAACAAGCAAAATATAACCAAGGACACTGAAATAGGGAACAGGCTGACAGCAACTAGAGGGGAGAGGGGAGGGAATTTCAGGGGAGAATGGGAAGGGTTTACAGGCACAAGTATAAAGGACACATGGACAAAAACTAGGGGGTGTGGAAATGGGATAGGTGGGTGGGCTGGAATGGGAGTAAAGGACAGAAAAATGTACTTGAACAATGATTAAAATAAAAAAAGAGTTTAATTGATCAACAACTAGGTATAAACAAGGGGAAATAAATATTTCCTATTTGTAATTGCCATATTAAATATGAGGCAGTCTGCAATTATTTCATAGGCTCTACACACACACACACACACACACTTTATTTCTCTGTAAGCCACATGTGTGAAGAGACATAAGAGCCAATGGATGTAACAGGGGGTATATCACTCAGGGTGGGAGAGCACGGTGGGTCCTGGTGAGACCCGGACCTCACAACAGCGAGGGAGAGAATGCGACAGATCCCAGCGTGGCCGAACGTCATGAGACAAACTCAGGAAAACCTGCGGCTAAAGCCCTCTTCCGGGGTGGAGGTTTGGTGATGACAATGATGGCATTTTCATCAGATTCCTGTCAACAGGATATGACTTGGGCACACTAAGTCAAAAATAGGCATGACTTTGAGTCATCTTTAGTCTGATTTGTCGGGAAAAAGAATCACTGGAATTACGGACTTAGAAAATTTCATGAACCAACGCACGGGTCCCTGCCTAGCACATGGCATGAAATAATGTCTGGGACAGGCTCCCTGAAAGATGCCAATCACTAAGAGAGACTGTATATCAGCTCAGGAAGTTGCAATGTACTCTTAGTGCCTATGATTAATTTGACATAACAACTATATGTTTATATAATTTCTCGCCTTTTATTGATACCACTTTCTTTAGTTTCAGGCTTCTTCATACTATCCCTTAAGACACTAGCCCCAAAGACATTTGTTATAGTAACATTTCAACAAGTAATTATGCTATTTGAATTGTTTCTCAAAATAACCAACCTTATGAAAGTAACACATTTGCATGTGTCTGAATAAAAGACTCCATGTTCCTGGCTAAGCCAATTGTTTTTTCCACCTGACAATTCCAGGTGGTGATTGATTCTGCTTCTTTCAAAAGAAATTAGGAAGACTGGTGTGAGGCTACTGTAATGAGACCTTTAGGGTCATCAAGGTCCTAAATACACTGACAAGTTAATCAATGAATTCTGATCCACAATTACAACACACAAGAAATTCACATTCCAATTTGGTGTTCAGAAGAAGAAAAAAATGAAAGTAAATTATAAAACTGGCACATTTAATTAAGGATTATTTACTCAGAATTTAGAAAAGCAGTGGTTAATAAAAAAAAAGACAAGTTATGCCTCCAACATAATTACAGAGATAAAAATAAAGAAAAAAATAATACCTAAAGATGGGTCTCCCCATAATTTCAGTTTGGGACATTAATATTTATAAACCATGGTTCAATGGGATAATTACTAATATTTAACTGATCTAAGTTGTGATCGTAGTTACTTATGGTGAGTCTCTAATCATTTACATATAACTTGTACACACACCTACATAGCATATATTTTAAAACAATTCCAGTGGATTGTATGATTTTGTCTATAGGACCCACACGCTCACATGACAGACTAGAAAAAGTGCAACATTTTAGGACCCAAGCAACCTTCTGGGAGAACCTTCCGACTGACCCTTCGGCCAGCTGCACAGCAAGTGTACCTTCCAGAGAGGAGCCGCCCCCGCCTTGCCCCTGTCCTCTCCCGCCCCACCGAGCCACCGCCCACTGCTCGGAGCTCCCTAGCCATACACAGTCTTCGGTCTCTTTTCATCCCTCCAGGGAACACGACTGAATGGAAAGAAGCAGACACACTATACACATTTTTCTAATACTTTTCTTCAGTGATATGGAAAAGCTGCTAGCTGCTTGATTTTCAAAGCAGCATTATCCCAACTACAGACTTTCTTTTAACACCAAAACAGAACCATCCCCAATTTAGCAAGAGGATAGGTTTGGGTGTGTCATTAACCACCACGGCTGGCTAGCTGCCACCGGGTGAGAGGACCACGCTTCGACTGGCTACAAAGGCAAGCGAACAGCCACGCCTACAAAGCCGGACCTATCACCAGTACTTACACAACACACGGCACGAAAGTCATCCTGGTAGAAAACAAAAAGGCCAGCAAGACCCTTGGATACGCCACCGTTTGTACAAAGCAAATACGTAAAGATGGTCTGTCAAATTTCTCAAAGGAATGAAGAGGTCCATCTGGAAAGAGACAACTCATCACAAACGTGCCACTCATTTCCATGGCGACGCAGCCGTCTGGACCGGCGCTTGCCAAAGGGCCTCTGGGCAGACGAATGAGCGTCTGGGGCTATCACAGTAAGACCACTGCTACAGAAACCCAGTTTTCCTGTTGTGGGAGGCACAGGGGGCTCCACGTGGGACTGCAGGCCCCCTTAATCAGACCCCACACTGGAGGGAGTTAGCACGCCCACTGTCCCCAGCCCCAAGGTCCTGGCAGCAGAACGTGTCACCAACTTGATTAAGAGAAAGGGGAAGCAGGACCGGCTTCCTCTGTCTCCCTCACACCTGGTCACAATTTTTCTTTTCCTCCTATTGCTCTTGTCTATTGGTCTTGTCGGGTGGTCCATTCAAAGGCTCGTCAGAAACTGTTGGCTGATACCCCGTTCCCTGCCGCTCCCCATCCTCTCTATGTAAACAGTTGCAAGCTGTGCAAACCATAATGGATCTGAGTAAAAGTGATGCCCTTGGGGTTATTTCCAGCGTTTCATTTCTCAGATTACATCAGAAGGGTCTGGATCGCTTTTGCCCCGGCACCATCATGCTGAAAGCAATTTGTTTCCCACCAAATCTCTGTACCTCACTTCTTACATAAAGTATATCCCATGTATGTGCATATATATATATATATATATATATATATATATATATATATATATATGCACATCAATGTTTTTAGATCTAGAAGGGGTCCATTGGCATGGCTGGCTTTAGGTGAGTATGGAATCATCCCCATTTTCTGGGTCCCGTCAGCCCTTGAGCTAGGAACAACTTCCTGGCCCTATCCCGGGTCTCCCAAGCTCTGCAGATAGACCTGCTGCTGAGTTTCGTTTCCAATCAACAGAAGTGACTTTAAAAGGAGTCAGTCAGATGGAGATGAGTTCTGGGTGAGTCTGTAACACCAAGATTATATAAAAAAAAGTTAACTATTTGCCTAAGTGGACGTATTAGGTAGGGAAGAAGGGAGAAAGCGGAAGAAACCGAGGCTGCTGCTCTCCGAGGTAAGAAGGGACCTGCGCCTCCTCCCGCACCTTCCCACCCAGGGACACATCTCTAACGACAGATCCGCCTTCTCCAGCACCGTTCTCATTCCCCAAATTCCACGCTAACGTCCTCATATTGAAGCAGTCCCACATCTGGGTGTCTTCGTGGGATGCCCTGGTTGCCTCTCCATCTGGAATCTGCATGAAGACCCCCTGGCAGATTAGTTAGTATCCTACGCCCAGGAACGTACGAGGGCTTGGGAAAGGAGGTACAAGAAGTAGTTACAAAAATAAACAGACCAATTAAAAAAACAAACTATTCTGCTTTATAGCATAAACTTATTTCCCTTGGGCTTCTCCCGTTGAACATTCTGTCTCCCAAGCTAACTAAATTTGCGTCCCCAAATCCTGGTACAATGTCAACTTCTTGCCTAGGATCTTTATTTCCTTACTTGGTAAAATTCTCCAACAGATGAGCGTTCATAGTGGCTAATGG